AGATTTAATTATTTAGAATAATTTGTTTAATTAATTGATAAATTCAGTTTAATTATTTTGGATTGTATTTTATTTTTATTTAATCTATATAAATTGAGTTCATTAAAATTAATATTTTAGAATAATTTATAACTTTATTATTTAAAAGTAATATTATTTTAGACAAAATTTGTATTAATTGTAAATTTATTGTAAAAATTAATATTTTAACTCGAATTTTTATATAAACAAATTAGTTATCTAGTTAAATTTTTTTATAAGTTTGATTTATTAATAAACTACTATATATAATTTGTCTAGTTAATTAATGAATTACTATTTATAAATATTTTAACAATTGTACTATTTCAAGTACAAAGTTTGTGTAAAATGACACAACACAGAGATATTGATTGAGATCATGCTACTCCTATCAGCAACGATAGAAAACAAGCAAAATGCAATTATTGTGGTAAAATTGTTCACGGCAGAATTACTAGGATGAACAACATATAACACATGTTACTGGTCAAGTTGAAGCATGCACGAGAGCTCCAAAAGAAATAAGAGAGTTATTAAAAAAAACACTTGATCCAAGGAAAAAAGTATGCGAGCAGCACATAAAAAAAAAAAAAAGTTAGAAGCATTGCACAATTCCATTCGTTTGGAAGATGATTCTGATGAGAAAAATGATGAAGTTTTTGAAATAAATGAAGATAAGATAGATGCTCTTGAAAGAAAACACTTAAAAAGAGCAATGGGTGAAAGCAGAAATATAGAATTTATGGAGCAGCAATATAGACATTCTGTATCCGGAGATCTACCAAGCTTGAATTTTAAAGCCGGTATATTTATTGAATTTATAAAATATATTTAATATTAGTTTTATATTTTTTGAGATAACAACCATATATGATCATATATATTTTTTTTATCTTTGTAAACGGAAGCAGCTCGAATACAAAAGGAAGTAAAAGAAATTTTTTCGTAAGCTCTATGAAAAAGACATAAGGTTTGCATAAAAAAAAAACTTGATCCATACATGTTTCAATCGAAAAATAAGTCTTTGAAAAATATTTTTTCAAAAGATAATGCAAAAAAAGTGGGTAGAGCAATTTAAAAAAATTTTCATTTTAATGCAATACCATTTCACGCTACCAATAGTGGTCCTTACTACCAAACGATGATTGACACGATTGCATCGGTTGGACCTAGAGTTAAAGGACCTACTGGTAAGAAAATTGGTGGTGAATATTTAAACAAGGAGATGCAAAAAGTTGTATAGTATGTTGATTCTTTAAAGTAGAAATGGAGAACATATGGATGTACAATTATGTGTGATGGTTGGAGTACTCGCACAAAACATCCAATCATAAATGTTATGGTGTACTGTGATAGAGATATGATATATCACAGTTCGGTTGATTGTACAAATAAGGCAAAGACTGTGGACTTTGTCTACACCCTAAAGGATAAGGTGGTGGAATCAGTAGGGGTTGACAATATTGTACAAATTGTAACTGATAATGAAACTAGTATGAAGGCGGCTTGGAAAAAACTGATGAGGAAAAGGAAGCACATTTTTTGGTCTCCATGTGCTGCACATTGCATTGGTTTGATGTTAAAAGACATCGGAGATGTATTATCAGTGAAAGATACGATAAAAGAAGCCAGAAGAATTACAAGTTTTATATACCACAGTGATAAAGTGGTCAATTTGATGAAAACATATACGAATGGCCGAGATCTGTTGCGACCAGGCATAACAAGAATTGCAACCGAGTTTGTTGCAATGGAAAGTCTTTTGAGATATGCAACCGATTTGAAAAGAATGTGTACTTCTAGGGAATGGGTTGAGTACAATAATACCTCGAGGAGAAGACATGAAGCCGGAGATATATCAGACTTGATTTTGAATGAAAGATTTTGGAAACGGATACGCCGAGTTTGTGGGGTCATGGAACCCTTAGTGAAGGTTTTAAAAGTAGTTGATCAAGATAAAAAACCTACACTACCTATCATTTATGAGGCAATGGATAGGGCAAAAATGGCAATAAAAACCGCGGTGAAAGATTTTCAACAATATTGGGATATCATCGATGAAAGATGGTATAATGAATTGCATCAAGATTTGCATGTAGCAGGTAATTATTGTTGTTACTTTTTTATTTTTATACTGTGCTAATCGTTTTTTTTTATTTTTTAATTTTATATACATTTCATGCAACTTATTTTTTAAATCCTGGTCTTCAATACTTCGGCACTTGTGAATTTGATTCATCGGAGGTTCGAAAAAGAGTAAAAGAAGTTATCAAAAGACTCGAGCCAAATTTGGATATACAAGTAAAGGCTATGAATGAGGTAAATTGTGTGAAATTTATAAATAATATATATTAATTTCTAATAATTTTACCGTTATATTGTCTATAGATAAACACATTTGTTAACAAAATTGGAGAGTTTGAAAGTGCACTTGCTATTAGAGTTGTATCTACATCTTTACCAGATATGTATTATAAAATTTATCATTTAATTATATTTTTAAACATACTTGTTATAAAATGTTGCATTATCAATAATTTTTTATTTATTTTTAATAGCTAACTGGTGGAATATGTACAGTGATGAAGCCCTTAATTTAAGAAAAATTGCATTAAAAGTTTTGAGTCAAACTTGCACATCATCGGGTTGTGAGCGGAATTGGAGTACGTGGGCTTTGATCCTACTAAACTTCGGAATAGATTAGCTATTGAGAAACTGCATAAGCTAGTCTATGTCCACTACAACATGTGTCTTCGGGTAAAAAATTTTATGCAAAGGATAGACACAGACGATTTTTATGACCCAATTGATTTGAATCATATTTTTTATGAAAATGATATTTTAGATGAATGGGTCAGAGAAAATGAATCTCCACTTATTCGTGATAGTGATTTAAATTGGTTGGATGAGGCTATTGAAGAAAGTGGAGATGGAGGTCAAAGTGAGCATAATGATCATGACAGCGATATATTTTTATCTCAATTTATAACTTATGGATAAAAGAAGGCAAAAGAGAAAAAATCAGAAAACAAAAATACGGCAAAAAAAAAAAAAAGCAATCATATTGGAATCTTCATCTTCATCAACTAATGGTGAATATAAGAATAATAACAACGATGATGATAATGATGATGATTATGATGGTGGTGGTGGTGGTGGTGGTGGTGGTGGTGATGGTGGTGGTGGTAGTGGGAGCTACAGGGATAGGCGATACTCAAGTGATATGGGATGGGTTCAAGGAAATGAAAATTATTATGCTACCTAAGACACTGATCATGGATATCGTCTTGGCATAGAAGCTCAAAGTGATTTTCTAAATAGTTCAACAGAATTTTTAAGTGAAGTCGATGCTTCAAATTTTTCAAATACTAGGAGATATTCTGGAGTTCATGAATATATGCAAGACTTGAATATGGGTTATTCCTATAGAGATTCTTCTCACAGTTTGAGTAATAGATTGGGGAGACATGAGTGGGACCAACCAAATGCATATGATAATAGGATACGGTTTATCTAATCTACCCAGACATCTCCAGGATTCAACCAATCTTCCTATATTTGGATCCAACCAACCAGTTGAAACATATTACGGAGGGATTACATCTGGTTCGGGTAGTATTGATGATCGTAGACAAAATTATGGTTCATTAAGCAGAAGCAATGATAATAGGGAATATCGAGGTTTTGATGTATATGGAAGGGGCTCATTTAGAGAAAATCAATATGGTTCGAACATCTCTCCTTATCCACGCAATATGAATCCAGAACAATGATATTCATACTATAATTGATCGGCAGATGAAAAATAATTTTGAGCCTCCACGCCATTCCACATGGTATTGAATGGTTAGTGTAAAGATTTAGTATAAACATAGTTTGAACATTATATAAAATTTTATTAGTATTTTTTTCTAATTATTTTTATTTATATGTAATACAGATATAAAGATGAAATCTTGACATTGACGGACACAAGGTACATCATTTTGTTATTAAAATAAATTTATTGGAATAATGACAATATGCAAAACATAAAATTTAGCATTTACATTTATATATATATATGCGCTAATTGAGTTGAAATATTATTTATTTTAAATTTTAATCTATTATAAATTATAATACTCTCCCCATCCCAATACAATAGTCTTGTTTATTATTTTTGTCCGTCTCAAAACAATAGTCTTATTTCCATAAATAATCATATCACTATATAACTACCCTTACTCTTTTATTATTATTACACAATTGACACTACCTTTTACACTAATACACTAATAAAGACAAAAATGTCTTTTACCTATACTTTTTACTCACTATCAATATAATATCAATATTCCTAAAATTCCGTATCCAACAAAACTAAGACTATAGTTTTGAGACGGAGGGAGTATATTTTTTCAATAATATATATTTTTAAATTAATTATATTTATAATTTGATGTATTTTAATTATTTTTTATTTTTTTAAAAAAAATATAAATTTTATATTAAAAAATCATATAGGCCGATATTCGAGACCGATTCGCCACAGCATATTCGCCACGGCATATCTGAAACGGTAAAAGCCTTCGACATGTAAAGGCCAAGGCCGACCCGCGTACTCCACTGTATCTGCTCACCAAAGAATCAATTCCCTATCACTACGACCAAGCAATCTCTCTGCCTTAAGAGGTTCCTTTACTTATTACCTTAAAGTAATTTCATTACTACCACCGACACGATGAGCTGCTATATATATCACCGATCACCCACCCACCTCTTTCTTTTAAGACAAGCTAGTGATTAGAACAAAGCAAGTAGGCCATTAGGCAGCTTGGGAGCTACATTTCCGGTTTGATTCTGTGGGTAAAAAAAAAAAAAAACATTTAACCATAAATCCTTTTCGGTCTAAAATAAGCCTTTGGATGTTTTTTCTAATAATTTACTAATTAAATATAATAAGTAAAAAATGATAGTATGGGTTGGGATGGAAGAAAAAACAAATGAATAAATAAAAACGTTCCATTCAATTACAGTTTACAAACAAATATCTAAGCTAGCTATGCTACGCAACACGCCGGAATGCAGAATACATATATATAAATACGTATATACATATCTGGAAACATATCGAGTATGATTATGATTATTATTATGATTATTAATCAATAAAAGAAATGAACTTTGTACGTAAGAAAAAAGATGGAGAATGAGAAGATGACATCAGACATCGACGGTGCAGGGCTGAGAGCCGAGCAGAGGCAGCTGCCCTACATAGCCTTTCTTCATCCCGACGTACAAATCGCACCTCACAAACACTCCATTCCGCCGACTCCAAATGCCCCCGCCCTTGTATCTGACCCGCCCCGTCAGCACCAGCCTCAGCCACACCACACCGTAGGCCTGGTCCATGAGCAGCCCGTTGGCCGCCTCCGCCGCCACCGGCACGGGGCTCCCTCCCAGCACGGGGGACAGCGCCACCGTGGTCTTGGTCTCGTGGAAGAGCGGCGGCAGGGGCAGCGGGGCGGTGATGGCCTGCTGGTTCTTGTAGGAGACGAAGGCCGAGAGGTGGTCGTAGTAGAGGGAGACCCGCCGGTTGGGGTTCCTGGTGACCACCGTCAGCTGCATCGTCGTCGTTATGAAGGGCGGCGAGGTGGTGTTGAGCTGGTAAACGGCAGCCTCCGCCACTCTGAACTTGGGCTTGTAGGGGCGGTAGAGAAGCCACACAGTCAGGGCGGCGACGCCCGCCAGTAGCAGCAGGAATACGAGGCCCGCACTCAAAGCGCTGCGCCGATCTCTCACGTAGTAACCGTAGTCGTAACGGCCCTTGCGCAGATGGTGCTTTCCGCCGTGTCCCATTTTGGGAGCGGGCAGGTGGTGCCCGGCTGGAGCTCCGGACTCGGGTTCCGCTACGGCAACTGCAGCAGCCATTGTGTAATTAATTAATTATATCAATGGACGTACGGTGTTTTTGATATATATATATACGTATGTAGCAAGCTAAGAGAATTATGGAAGAAGAGGGAGGTACTTATTAATTAATTAATTAGCCAGCAGCGGTGGCGAATTAATTAAGAAGAAAAAGGAAGATGATGATGCTTGTGATGACGAAATGTGAATCGTGGCGGGCGTCTAAGAGAAGGTGGAGATGAGGAAAGGGCGAGCGGTAGACAAGTGGAGGAGCTTTTGTCTCTGTCTGTAACACCGACCGTACACACTCAAACCATGCCATGCCATGCCATACATCATGCATGTCTAAATGCCATTATAACCGGTCCCAAAAATAAACCCTATCCCTTATTTTCACATACATAGTATACACATATGTGTATATGGTACAGCGGACAGACGATCCCGTTTGTGTTTAAATATAGTTCAGCTTCAAAATTATTAAGGTTTATTTGGCTTTCATTTAAATTTGAAATTCTCGCTTTTAATTTCGAATAACTTATAATAAAATTATACTCTTTTTTCCGTATCTAAGGATTATATTTAACTTTTGTATCATTGTACTTAATATTAAAAATATTTTTATATTTATATAGTTTTTTTTGTACAGATATCCTTTTATTAGTATTAAAAGACACTAATGAAAGTATTTTTGCAATTTTTTTTTAATTTGTACTATGTTTTGATGGCGGTGGCTACAGTGCTAAAATTTAAAATTCAGCCTTGTGCTGACAACACATCACAGCACACAGTGTGTTGTCGGACAACACAAGTTGTTACTACCGGCAGCACACTGTCTGCATTTATATAATACAAATACAACACATGAATTAACAATACATTATATAGTCTTATACATCACAATCAATACTTGATTTCAGCCCACCACATATTGTTATACAACATACTTGTAATTATGAACCAACAACACAAATATAATACATGAACTGACAACCCATGCTATAGTTATAGTGTTATACAACACAAATACTAATTAATTTCAACACACTCCACACTATTATACATCGCACTATAATTACGAAGCAACATCACTTGTCGTTTTTATACACCGCATGTGCTGTGTATAATAAACTGTGTGCTGTTTGTATACATTACGGATGCCGTTGTGCTAATTTTTCCAATTCAGCACTCTTATCATTCCCCGTTTTGAAATAATAATTAATATTCAAATATCAATAAGCAAAAGGTAAATGAAACCCTTAAAGTCGGACAAAAGTAATTTTATTTTTTTATAAATTAAAATATTATTTAAATAAAAATCTAAAATAATTTTAAACAACAATCAAATAAAAATGTTCCTTTTGAATTTGATTTCGATAAATTTAATTTGAATTCGATATTAAAATCATAGGAGTACTATTTTATAAAAGATTTTCTAGAAAAACAAACGTGTTTTTTTTAAATAAATATATATATATAATTTAAATAATAAAATTTCAGACATTAATATTAAAAAACACATTATACTCCATGTATTTTTATTGTTATTAGTACTTAATTGTTTGGTTGGTTTATTTTTAAAAAAAAAAATTGAAAATACGAAGTACAAAATTTAGTACATTCTAAAATTAAAAGTAAAAAATTATTAAGAATAAGTATTATATATTTTCAATAAAAAATATTCTATGGGTGTGTTTGTTCGGGGGTTTGGATTTTGAGTTGGGATTTGAATAGTAAAAATTTTGAATTTGAATAGTTGTATGATGTGATATAAATAGGTGTTGATGTGATATTTTGAATGTAAAATTAATTTTTAGTATAATATAAAAAATAAAAAATAGGTGTTTGATTTAATGTTTTTGGGGGGAAAAAATTGGATGAATAGTAAAAATCTAATTAAATCCCCCAAACAAACACACCCTATATAATTTTTTTTTATATGTAAATGATGGCAATGGATTGCGTGTCACCCACTCTTGCAACTTTTTTGAACTTTTTATCTCAATTCTTCGTATGCACTCATCGGATTAAAATTTAGGTCGATATCAAGGGTGTATTTTTTGAAAAAAATAAAAATACATTGTATTACTTTAACAAAAAATTTCATCAAGGGTTCCATATTGATCCAATCAAATTTTTATTTAACTGAATTAACATATATTATACAAGTAAACAATATATATTATAAATATTGTAGCATATTTTTAATATAATATAAGGTAAATTATATGAAACTCTCTTGTGTTAATGTAAAGTTTGAATAAAACATCTTCCTTATCCAAAACTGATATTTGGTTCTAAATAAATACCTAAATTACGTAAGTTTTATACAAATAAAAAATGTAAAATATTTTAAATATTTTTTTATAAAAAAATAGATAAATAAATAATTGATCAATAATTTATTTTATAATTTTTATAAAAATTAGATAACAATTTGTCTTAAAAAATTATAAAATGGAGGACTAAACAATTATTTATTTACTTATAAAATTTGCGTAATTTAGGTCTTTATTTAGAACAAAATATCATTTTGAGACAAGGAGAATGTTTTGTGTAAATTTTACATTAACACAAGGGGTCTCACGCAATAAATAAAACATAGGGTGTTTTTTGCATTTTAATTAAAACACAATGGAGTGTTATATAATTTATCCTATAATATATGTTATGTTATAACCTAACATATGTTATTTAGTGCACATTTTCGAATAACAGATACGAATTCTCACGTTATAATAAAAAATAATAATAAAAAAATATGAATATATGTTGTTAAGATTTATAATATACTAGGTGTTTAAAAAATAATAATAAAAAAAGTATGAATATATGTTGTTAAGATTTATAATATACTAGGTGTTTCTAGTGTGCTACGTGCGAAAATTTAAATTCGTAGATAAGATAATATTATATTTTTATTATAATATTTTGAGGCAATAAATGAAAATCAAAATATTTTTAATATACCAAAAAAATTATATTCGAACTTCTAGGTTAAAAAATACCCTAAACTATATATACAAAAACAATAAATGAACAAATTATACAAAAAAAAAAAAAAAGATAAAAATTGTTTCATTTAAAATTATAAAAAAAAGAAAAATTAAATAAAGTGGGGATATATTCATTTAACATATGTCTGACTCAATACTTTTTTATTAAAATTATAATTTATATTCTTGAATATATATATAAAATTAAAATATGATGTATGTATTACACATGCAGTTTTAAAGAAAAATATTTTAAAATTAAAAATTAAATCAAAAAAGGCTACTAATAAAAAAATAATAATAATAATAAGTAAACACACCCTGAGATTTAAAAATATTAAAATTAATGTCAACGTGCATCTCATATAATTAATTTTCCTTAAAATACTAACAATTAATATTAATAACTATATGTATATGCAAACATTAATATAGGCATAACATTCCAAAAAAATAAATACAAATATTTTCTATATTTTATACGTACGAAGAAATGTAAGTAAATGTATAGATTAATTTCAAAATATATAGAATTTACACAAATTATTAATATAATTGTATTTCAAGATGTATATTATTTTTTACATACAATTTAATTTAATATTTTTTTTCCTTTTACTCTTTGTAAAAAAAAAAAAAGAAGCGAATATTCCTTATAATTTATTTTTTCAAAATAGAAATCCTATACCTAATCAAAAAAATAATAAATTTCGATAAAAATAAATGTGATTATATTATATAAAATAAATGTAGGGTGTGTTTGTTTGGGGGATTTTCCTTAAAATTTATTATTCATCAAATAAATTTCTTCAAAAAATATAAAATCAAACACTTTTATTTTTTAAGTTATACTAAAAATCAATTTTATATTCAAAACATCACATCAACACCTATTTATATCACATTATACAATTATTTTAATTCAAATATTTTACTATTCAAATCTCAACTCAAAATACTAATCCCAACTCAAAATTCAAATCGCTAAACAAACACACCCGTAATATCATTATATAATAGAACTAATAAATTTAATAATGTTGTGTAAAATAATACTCCACTGTAATAAAATAAATAATTATATCTACTAAATTTTTAGTACAATAGATAGAGATAAAAATAAATAATAAAGAAAAAGATATTTATGTAATTTTATGTAGCTATTTATAGTTAAAGGCATATATATGTAGCATTAATATTGATCTTAACCTAATCAGCATGGAATCCACGTATATCCAAAAACATGTTATTTAAATACAAAACTTAAATCAAATCAAACCCAAATAACACTCTTGTGTTTAGGCTACGTTTGTGATCATATATATGTTTGGAATTATACTACTACTATTATTTATAAATATTATTTGTATAAAAAATATAATATCAAATATTTCTTTCTATATCAAATACTAAATTTTTTTATTAATTCTAAAACTTCTTCAAAACTATAAAACTTTTAGGTTTGTTCAAATAGCTGACATAATTTTTTAATAAATTTATTAATAAAAAATACAGGTTGTATTTTTTTTTTCCAAAAAAAAAAGAACACATTTTTTCTAAAAACTTAATATACCATACACAATGATTGTTTTTATATTATTATATAATTTTCTATAATTCATATATAAAATATCTTTTCAAACTATTTCACAAAACAAATACACCTATAATATAGACACATTTACATAATATATAAAAAATATATTAACTTTTTTCTAACAAAATAAAAAAAATAATACAAAATATTATTTTTTAATTTATAGACACAAGCTCGCGTAAAAAAACACGTTTGACCTGGGATTCAACCTGAATAGACATTATCTTACCTAAAACCCAAATCAAACTTGATTATACCTAGACCTGCTTATATCCGATAAGATTCGATAGACCTCACAAACCTAAAATACTTTTGTACTTCTTAAAATTGTAATTCAAAATTACACCTAATCACAGATCACACCCGACATATATCAAAATTTATGTATTTTATTTAAAATATATTATAATAAAATCTTAGTAAATTAATTAACTAATTAATTGTAGTTTTAATATAATTATATTATTAAAAAAATAATTTTATTTTTTAAATATCATTGGTTTACTATTAAT